ACCACCCTCAATTCCACTGGCTGGTGGAGTCTGTTTGTGCCATTTCGGGGTGCAGGAGACGGGGGACCCCCAACGTGCCGTCACAGCTTCAAAAGGAAGTCACAAAACTAGGTGACTGGGCAACAAAATGGCAGTTGAATTTTAGTGTTGATAAATGCGAAGTAATGCACATTGGAAAACCTAATCCCAACTATACGTATCAAATAATGGGGACTAATTTAGCTATAACTACTCAAGAGAGAGATCTTGGAGTCACTGTGGATAGTTCTCTGAAAATATCCATTCAATGTGTGCAGCAGCAGTCAAAAAAGCAAATCATGTTAGGAATCATTAAAAAAGGGATAGAGATATCTTATTGCCTCTATAAAATCATAGTATGCCCGCATCTTGAATACCGTGTGCAGATGTGGTCGCTCATCTCTAAAAATATATCTTGGCACTGGAAAAAGTTCAGAAAAGGGCAACAAAAATTATTAGGGATTTGGAGCGTGCCGCCTATGAGGAGAGATTAAAGAAACTAGGACTTTTCATCTTGGAAAAGAGGAGACTAAGGGGGGATAGGATAGAGGTCTATAAAAGCATGAGTGGGGTGGAGAAAATGAATAAGGAAAAGTGATGTACTTGTTCCCATAATATAAGAACTAGGGGTCACCGAAGTAAATTAATGGGCAGCAAGTTTAAAACAAATGAAAGGAATCATAGAATTCTAGCGCTGGAAGAGACCTCAGGAGTCATCAAGTCCAGCCCCCTGCCCAAGGCAGGACCAACCCCAACTAAATCAACCCGGCCAGGGCTTTGTCAAGCTGAGACTTAAACACCTCTAGGGATGAAGATTCCATCACCTCCCTACGTAACCCAATCCAGTGCTTCCCCACCCTCCTAGTGAAAGTTTTTCCTAATGTCCAACCCAGGCCTCTCCCATTGTAACTTGAGACCATTGCTCCTTGTTCTGCATCTGTCACTAAAAGTTCTTCTTCACACAGCGCACAGTCAACCTGTGGAACTCCTTGCCTGAGGAGATTGTGAAGGGTAGGACTATAACTGGGTTTAAAAGAGAACTAGATAATTTTAGGTCCATTAATAGCTATTAGCCAGGATGGGTAAGGAATGGTGTCCCTAACCTCTGTTTGTCAGAGGGTGGAGATGGATGGCAGGAGAGAGATGGCTTGATCATTACCTGTTCGGTTCACTCCCTTTGGGGCACCTGGTATTGGCCACTTTTGGCAGACAGGATACTGGGATGGATGGACCTTTGTGTGACCCTGTGTGGTCATTCGTACGTTCGTATGACCACATGGAACCATTTTGCCAGAATGCTCTGCTTGCACAGAAGTTTTCAAGGGGGAATGCTCAAGCTGTTTGGTTGTGAGAAGGTCCAAATGTTTTGTTCCAGCCAGGCTGAAATACTTCATTTGGATACCAGCCCAGAAGAGTCGACATTCCTAAGTCGAAACGAAACCTTCTGACCGGACCCAAAGGACGTGTTCCAAGGCGGTGGAGATGAAATATTCCATAGGGCAAAATAAGGGGCGAGATTTCAAATCAGGACCAAAATGCACACTTGAAATCTCGGAATGTCCCATGGGCTGGAAACTCTGTTCTGTGATTGGTCCTTGTCAATCGCTGGAGACTACCATGGGCTGCTGTTACCCCGTCACTTCCTCTTCGGCGGTTGCAGACGTCCAGTCACCTGCTCTAACAATGACGTTGTCTCCCCTTTGCAGACGCTCCCAGGAACCCATTGCTGCAGGCCTTCCTGGAGAACCGTAACGCAAGGGTGGGGCTCCTCCATTGCACTGCTGATGGCAACCCCCAGGCTGAATTAGCCCTGTACAGAGAGGATAAGTTAGTGGCTTCCAGCCACGGCCCCCGCTCAGCAGCCAACCACAGGCTCAGCGTGTTTCCGTCCTTCAACGCCTTGAGAGTGGAGATCCGGGACGTCACGTCGGCGGACTCGGCAGAGTACACGTGCCTTGCCAGGAACAGGCTGGGCAACGTGACAGTCACTGCCTACTTCAGGGCACAAAGTAAGTCAGGCGGCTCGGGGGCTGCCACGTCCTGTCGGGTCCATCCCCGCGGGCCACACTGGGTTATTCCCGACAGCATGTCCGTCCAGTCCAGTTATATCCAGCAGGGGGCTCAGACACTCCGAGGTGCAGGTCAGATCCCATCCAGCAGGGGGCAGGGAAGCACACGGGGATACATGCATAATAAGAACGGCCACACGGGGTCAGACCAAAGGTCCATCTCGCCCAGTGTCCTGTCTGCCGACAGCGGCCAGTGCCAGGTGCCCCAGAGGGAGTGAACACAACAGGGAATCGTCCAGTGATCCCTCCCGTCACCCATTCCCAGCTTCTGACAAACAGAGGCTTGGACACCTTTCCTTCCCATTCTGGCTAAGAGCCACTGATGGACCTAACCTCCATGAATTTATCTAGCTCTTTTTTAAATCTAATTACAATTTTGGCCTTCACAGCATCCCCTGGCAATGAGTTCCACAGGTTGACTGGGCGTTGTGGGATCACTTTTGTTGCCCTTCTCAGTCCCTTTTCCAGTTCTAAGGTATCTTTTTTGGGATGGGCTGCCCACATCCACACTCAGTTGAGGTGCAGGGCACCCCGGATTTCTATAGCGGCACTGTGGTTTTTTATGGTCTTTGTAGCTACCTAAGGGTTGCCAGCGTTCTGTTGGGGTGGTTGCCTGCCGCAGCACGTTGAGCAGATGTTTTCAGACAACTATCCGCAAAGTCTCCAAGATCTCTTGAAGGTCTGGTCCCACCCCGCAGAGGGCAGGGGGACTCCCATGCAGGATGGGCTTTGTCCATCGGGGGGCGGTGGAGCACAGCCAGTAGACAGGAGCCGATGACCGGGACAACGCATTGATGACTCGGCTGTTGCGGTAGAAGGACACAGCCCCATGGCTCTGAGCGTATTGTCGCCATGCAGGCAGCTGTTGGTGGATTTCACAGTGGCCGGACTAACCCGTCTCTTCTCCCTCCTCCTCAGCTCTCACTGAGCTCCGCACGTACAAGATCCTGGCCGGGTTGTTCATCACAGCGCTGCTGGCTGGAGCTCTGGCCATTGCGGCTGTCCTGCTCCGGCCCAGGTGACGTGGCTCTTGCTGCTGTTGGAAACGGCACAGGGGTGTCCCGTTGGGCTGGCTCGCAGGAGCTGGGAAGGGACAACTTGTCCACGGGAGGGGCGGGGATGCAGACGGGCGGGAGAGCGGGCCTGCTGGGCCGGGCTTTCTCTGCTCCTAAAATGATCCCTCGTGAGCATCCACCCACTAGCCCCACATGCGGGGTCCTGCCCAGCCGAGCCCGGGATCCTGGCCACTAGCCCCACATGCGGGGTCCTGCCCAGCCGAGCCCGGGATCCTGGCCACTAGCCCCACATGCGGGGTCCTGCCCAGCCGAGCCCGGGATCCTGGCCACTAGCCCCACATGCGGGGTCCTGCCCAGCCGAGCCCGGGATCCTGGCCACTAGCCCCACATGCGGGGTCCTGCCCAGCCGAGCCCGGGATCCTGGCCACTAGCCCCACATGCGGGGTCCTGCCCAGCCGAGCCCGGGATCCTGGCCACTAGCCCCACATGCGGGGTCCTGCCCAGCCGAGCCCGGGATCCTGGCCACTAGCCCCACATGCGGGGTCCTGCCCAGCCGAGCCCGGGATCCTGGCCACTAGCCCCACATGCGGGGTCCTGCCCAGCCGAGCCCGGGATCCTGGCCACTAGCCCCACATGCGGGGTCCTGCCCAGCCGAGCCCGGGATCCTGGCCACTAGCCCCACATGCGGGGTCCTGCCCAGCCGAGCCCGGGATCCTGGCCACTAGCCCCACATGCGGGGTCCTGCCCAGCCGAGCCCGGGATCCTGGCCACTAGCCCCACATGCGGGGTCCTGCCCAGCCGAGCCCGGGATCCTGGCCACTAGCCCCACATGCGGGGTCCTGCCCAGCCGAGCCCGGGATCCTGGCCACTAGCCCCACATGCGGGGTCCTGCCCAGCCGAGCCCGGGATCCTGGCCACTAGCCCCACATGCGGGGTCCTGCCCAGCCGAGCCCGGGATCCTGGCCACTAGCCCCACATGCGGGGTCCTGCCCAGCCGAGCCCGGGATCCTGGCCACTAGCCCCACATGCGGGGTCCTGCCCAGCCGAGCCCGGGATCCTGGCCACTAGCCCCACATGCGGGGTCCTGCCCAGCCGAGCCCGGGATCCTGGCCACTAGCCCCACATGCGGGGTCCTGCCCAGCCGAGCCCGGGATCCTGGCCACTAGCCCCACATGCGGGGTCCTGCCCAGCCGAGCCCGGGATCCTGGCCACTAGCCCCACATGCGGGGTCCTGCCCAGCCGAGCCCGGGATCCTGGCCACTAGCCCCACATGCGGGGTCCTGCCCAGCCGAGCCCGGGATCCTGGCCACTAGCCCCACATGCGGGGTCCTGCCCAGCCGAGCCCGGGATCCTGGCCACTAGCCCCACATGCGGGGTCCTGCCCAGCCGAGCCCGGGATCCTGGCCACTAGCCCCACATGCGGGGTCCTGCCCAGCCGAGCCCGGGATCCTGGCCACTAGCCCCACATGCGGGGTCCTGCCCAGCCGAGCCCGGGATCCTGGCCACTAGCCCCACATGCGGGGTCCTGCCCAGCCGAGCCCGGGATCCTGGCCACTAGCCCCACATGCGGGGTCCTGCCCAGCCGAGCCCGGGATCCTGGCCACTAGCCCCACATGCGGGGTCCTGCCCAGCCGAGCCCGGGATCCTGGCCACTAGCCCCACATGCGGGGTCCTGCCCAGCCGAGCCCGGGATCCTGGCCACTAGCCCCACATGCGGGGTCCTGCCCAGCCGAGCCCGGGATCCTGGCCACTAGCCCCACATGCGGGGTCCTGCCCAGCCGAGCCCGGGATCCTGGCCACTAGCCCCACATGCGGGGTCCTGCCCAGCCGAGCCCGGGATCCTGGCCACTAGCCCCACATGCGGGGTCCTGCCCAGCCGAGCCCGGGATCCTGGCCACTAGCCCCACATGCGGGGTCCTGCCCAGCCGGCCCCGGGATCCTGGCCACTAGCCCCACATGCGGGGTCCTGCCCAGCCGAGCCCGGGATCCTGGCCACTAGCCCCACATGCGGGGTCCTGCCCAGCCGAGCCCGGGATCCTGGCCACTAGCCCCACATGCGGGGTCCTGCCCAGCCGAGCCCGGGATCCTGGCCACTAGCCCCACATGCGGGGTCCTGCCCAGCCGAGCCCGGGATCCTGGCCACTAGCCCCACATGCGGGGTCCTGCCCAGCCGAGCCCGGGATCCTGGCCACTAGCCCCACATGCGGGGTCCTGCCCAGCCGAGCCCGGGATCCTGGCCACTAGCCCCACATGCGGGGTCCTGCCCAGCCGAGCCCGGGATCCTGGCCACTAGCCCCACATGCGGGGTCCTGCCCAGCCGAGCCCGGGATCCTGGCCACTAGCCCCACATGCGGGGTCCTGCCCAGCCGAGCCCGGGATCCTGGCCACTAGCCCCACATGCGGGGTCCTGCCCAGCCGAGCCCGGGATCCTGGCCACTAGCCCCACATGCGGGGTCCTGCCCAGCCGAGCCCGGGATCCTGGCCACTAGCCCCACATGCGGGGTCCTGCCCAGCCGAGCCCGGGATCCTGGCCACTAGCCCCACATGCGGGGTCCTGCCCAGCCGAGCCCGGGATCCTGGCCACTAGCCCCACATGCGGGGTCCTGCCCAGCCGAGCCCGGGATCCTGGCCACTAGCCCCACATGCGGGGTCCTGCCCAGCCGAGCCCGGGATCCTGGCCACTAGCCCCACATGCGGGGTCCTGCCCAGCCGAGCCCGGGATCCTGGCCACTAGCCCCACATGCGGGGTCCTGCCCAGCCGAGCCCGGGATCCTGGCCACTAGCCCCACATGCGGGGTCCTGCCCAGCCGAGCCCGGGATCCTGGCCACTAGCCCCACATGCGGGGTCCTGCCCAGCCGAGCCCGGGATCCTGGCCACTAGCCCCACATGCGGGGTGCTGAACACCAGCCCCAGCTCTAAGGGGCTCTGAGGGGCACAGATACAGGTAAAGGGGGGTGCAGCTTAGCACCCCTACTCCACAAATTGCTCCCACGCCTCTGCCCCGGCGTCAGGGGAGCTCTGCTGAGGGGCGCCGGGCGGCTGACGACCGTTAGCCAGGTGTTACCTGGTTTCAGTGGAGCCCACGGCTGGCCAGGAGGAGCCCTGGGCTGGGGGAGGAATCCCGGGGTGAGCAGAGCGGCAGGTGGACCACAGGGGGCTGGAGGGCGTGCTCCGAATCCAAGGCCACGGAGCCCTCACCTGCGACCCCGGCAGGAGGGTCAAAGACAGGCAGAGTTCGTGGCACTGCCCCTGGCAGCAGAGCTCACGGCTCCCTGTGTGTGGCCCGTGGCCAGCCCAGGCGCGTCCCACATGCATAGGGTTGCCAGATGGTTTAACAAAAAATACCAAACACCCCCGCCCCCCCAAAAAAAACACTGGGGGAAAAAAATCTGTTGAGCAAATAAAAAGGGGGGGGGGAAGTCATTGAGCAAATAAAATAAAATAAAACAGCATGTCCCCTTTAAAAGGGAGTGCAGGTTGTCAGCCAACCCGGCTTCTGTCCGAGGGAAACAGGAAATACCTGGGTTTTTTCTACCAGATGGGGAACCTGAATAACAGACAGTCCGGTCCGGGTGAAAACCAGACACCTGGCAACCCTACACAGGCGGGTTTGGGCCTCTGGGGCTTGTCCCCTCGACCCACAGCTAACCACAGCACCCAGCCGCACCTGGAGCAGCCCACCCAGCAGCAGCACCGGGAACCCCCGCCCAGCTGGACTGGACTGCAAGAGCCACAGCGAGAGAAGGAAATGCATCCCCCTTGGAAGGCGAGCGGGAGATGGAGCCAGCCTGGGCGGGACCAGGCTGCCGGGGCAGGCCCCCTCCTCCTCTGGCCCTTCCAGGCCTTCCTCCCTCACCCGTCCTCGTCCTTCTCCCCTGGCCTGTCCCCACTCCTACGTCAGCTGTCCTCTCCCAGTGGCACAGGTTTAGTGCTCACCTTCCTTGGAACGTTGTATCTGTCACCCGCAGGACGGCTGTGAGCACCTGGAGCCCGGCTGTGACAAATCCCAGCCTGTTTCTTTTTTAATTCTAACCACGCTTGTCATCAACACCATAATCTCCCAGCCACGCAACTCCCCAGTCACAAAATAAAGAAAGGCGCAAAGTGCACGACGCCAGCGTCACAAGGAGCAGTCCCCTGGCCTGACCCTGCGGAGAGGAAAGGCAACGGCACGCCGGGCTGGCTTTAAGCCGATTCGGCCGATTCCCCGGAATGGGGCCCTGTGCCTAAGGGGGCCCTGCACCTGGGTGTGCGATGCACGTGCAGTGCCACGGGTGCGTTACGCATGAGCGGGGCTCCTGGGCGCACAACGCATATGGAGTGCCGCCCCGGTTGTGCGGCGCACATGCAGCACCACCCTGGGCGCACGGCGCACACACAGGGCCCCGGGCGCACGGCGCACACACAGGGCCCCGGGCGCACGGCGCACACGCAGCACCACCCTGGGCGCACGGCG